ATTTAATGTTATTTACAAAGTGTGAAATTGTTAAAACTTTAATTTGTATAACAAAAGAGACTAAAAGTAATAAGAATGACTTTTCCTCTATCATGAAAAAGAGCCTACAATATATGGAGAAGAGTAATATTAAGCAAATGAGAGAATTATTGTGTTATTTTAGGAGAGGGAGAAAATGAGGGCAAAGTTGGAATTGCATCGCTGACAATATGCATAGCAATTTATTGGACATGCAATTTCCTAATATATGACACTGTGATTAGACTGAACGATTTGACCCTAAGTAATTTATTTGAATCATTTAATTTGAATATGTGATGATTAATGGCATTACAGAAACGTTTATCGAAGGTGTATATTACTTTGGGTCATTCTAACACACTTAGCTTGATAAGATCTTTTAATTAACTTATAATTTATGTCTATTAAATCAATTCTGAAAGTATTTTTAAGTCTAAATACTTTGTAATTATGTGGACATCAATAAATAATCTATATCAGACTAGTGGTATATCAAGATACACTTGAGTTATTGTGTATGTGTGTACAAAAAGAAAAGGAAAACAAGATATTTATTATCTTGATTTTTGTTAATTAACTATAAATTTGAATGTGAACTTTTGATTGTTTTCCAACTAATGACAAACAAGTTCCCTGTGGCTAAAGGAGTTACATGATTCAGAACATAAAACACCCCAGCACCTATGACTTAGGGCCCCAGATTCTTTTGAAGAAAATAAAATTTTGAACGAAAGAAAGTAGTATAGAGCACTGTGGAACCCTGTGAAGGCTCAAAATTATGTGGAATTCTGCAACTGACTATGAAGTTCTGGTTAAAGCAATATTTGGTGAAAGTCTCCTAAGAAGCAATTATATCTCTATATACTTTTGGACCCATTGTGATTGAGTGAAGTGTCTCTTATTATCCATCAGAAAACTAGTGAGAAAGGAAAGTACACTGTCCCTGTAATGCAAGACATCAGACGTTTATCATACTAAAAATGAGGGAACTAAGTGAGAGTTTATAGATACCATGTTAACCCAGTCAGTTCCTGGAACGGGGTCAAACACTTTTTAATTTTAGCTTTTAATCTTTAACCTGAAGCTTCTGACCATAGTGAAGCCTATGGTTGACCAGTGGCACTTATGTGCTCAGAATTCTAATAGACTTCTTAACGCCTTATTCATAAATATGAACAGAACACCTATGATCACCAGACATTTGAGAAAAGCCTCATTTATGAAAAAGAGTGAAATACACAAATAAAAAAAGCAACTTGAGGAAACTATGAACTTTGAGAAAAACTTAAAAAAAAAAAAAACTATTGCCAATTAACAGACAGAGGAGGGGGAAAAGAGAAAGACAGTGTTCCATATATGAAACAAGAATAGAATACAATAAAAAAGGCTATTTGTAAAACAGAAAGTGCTCCTGACAATTAAAAGTATAAAAACAGAAATAAAAAATACAAATAAATGAGGAAAAAGGTAAACTTGAAACATTTTCCAGAAAATGAAGCCAAAACAAATGAATTTCTGATTGGAAAATAGAAAAAATGCAATTAGAAATTTGAATAAGAATTTTGTAGAAACTAAAAATTATTAACACAATAAATTAAGAAAAAAATCAAATTTGGAAGACAAGAGTATCTATATTGAAAAAAACTCCACTGATTGTCTAGCACAATACATAAAAAACATACATTTATTGGGGAACCTGGGTGGCTCAGTTAGTTAAGCCTCCAACTCTTGATTTCATCTCAGGTCATGAACTCAGATCAAGCCCCACGTTGGGCTCTGTGCTGGGCATGGAGTCTGCTTAGTATTTTCTCTCTGTTTCCCTCCACCCCTCCACTACATGTGCCTGCACACCTACCCTCTCTCATGAAAACAAAAACAACAACAAAAAACACATACATTTATTAGGGCACAGTGTCATACAGTAACAAAACACTAGACACAAAGAAACTATACTATACATCTTCAGGGAAGAGAGAGAGGAGAGAGAGAACATTTCACCATAAAAGAATATGATTAGGAAGTAGGCTTTCAGATTTATTGCATGGCTGCTTTCTGTTACACACACAGAACAATCTTATTAAGATTTGAATTAAAACCCATTAGACCTTTTCCATGTTTGTCTTCTACTAGGACTTGTTTCCATCTGTGTCACTTTGTTAGAATTTCACAATCTATTCTCATTCCTGTAGAATAAGGACACATGACACTGATTGATATTAACGAGTCTATTAGTCTATAACAGAGCCAGGAGAAGACACAACAGAAGAATAAGAAGGAGAGAGGAATTTCAGATGCATAGTGATGTATTTCAGTTCAAGCTAGAGGGGAAATGTTCTTCAACATTTACATTTGCTCCTGTTCTTAGAAAGTATTGTCAATGGTTTGGAATGAGTTCAAAAACTACCTGTGTAGAAAAAATATTCTGAAATCTTCATGGAGAAATATGGTACATTATAGGTCATCATAAATATCTATACAAGAAAGGAATAAAGAAATGAAATAAGAAATGAGTGAGTAGGAAGTGGTAAAGGAGGGAAAGAGGGAAGGAAGGAAGGAAAACAACTTATTTTTCACAGTGAACGTTATTTTCATTATTATTGATTTTGTTTCTGTACCCCTATCACAGAACAACCAAGCGAGAACAGTTTTTGCTCAGAGAGGATATGATTGTCTGTGTAGAAAATCCTAAAGAGTTGACGAAAAAAAAAAAACCTCCCAGAAGTAACAGCAAGTATAGCAGATATATCAAAGAGATATTTGTGCTACCATGTTTTTTGCGGCATTATTCATGATAGCCAAGGTATGGAAACAGCCTAAGTGTCTGTCAATGAAGGAATGGATCAAGAAAATACATACACATATATACAATGGAATGTATTATGAATATATATTCAGCATCAAAAAAGCCCAGTCATTTGCGACAACATGGATAAATCTCGAAGGCATTATGCTAATTGAAATAAGCCAAACAGAAAAAAAAAAAACCTTATGGTAACACTTATATGTGGCATCTAAAACAAAATTGAGCTCAGAAACAGGAGAATAATGGTTGCCAGGACCTGGAGAGTGTGAATATAGGAAAAAGTTGTTGAAACGGTACAAATTTTCAGTTATGATTAAAATCTGGAGGACCCAATGTAGAACATGGTACTTTAGTTGATAACATTCTATTGTATAATTTAGATTTGCTAAGAGAGTAGAACTTAAATGTTCTCACAAAAGAGAGTTAAATGAGTGAAATAAATAGAGTTTTAAGAATAATAAAACTCGGGGTGCCTAGGTGGCTCAGTCAGTTGAGCATCCGACTTCAGCTCAGGTCATGATCTCATGGTTCGTGGGTTCGAGGCCCGCATTGGGCTCTGTGCTGACTGCTCGAAGCCTGGAGGCTGCTTCGGATTCTGTGTCTCCCTCTCTCTCTGCCCCTTCCTCTCTCACACTCTGTCTCTCAAAAAGAAACATTAAAAAAATTTTTTTTAAACGGGGGCCAAAAGAATTTGAATGTGTTACAAATATCTGAAACAACCTCACTGAAGCAAGTGGGAGAATAAAGTGCTGGCCTAACATCTGGAAGTGAGTGTAGTCTGTCACCATAAACACAAAGGTAAAGAAGCAAAAACCTGTACATAGCACTGTACTCTATTGATAAAGCTGTTTCCCGTGGGCTGCAAATGAACAATCCTAAAACCAATACACATGCATACTGACATTGAATATAAACTGATGACAGATGGTGAGAGCCAGGTTTCTCACTGTTGGAGCAGAAGCTTACATATGAGGAAGGGAAGGACGCTTGAATTATCTATGTGGTAATAGAGTTAGAGACATCAGTAAGGAGTCATGCTTAACATACACATATATACATGTAAATAATATATAAATTATATATGTTATATGTATAAGCATATGTAAACTCATATATACAAGCATATATGTAAATAATTATAAATATTATATTATATATATAATGTATATACAGCTTAGTACACACACATATACATCCAACCTTTGTTAGTTAAATGAGACTATAAGAAAAAACATCCTAGTAACAACAAGGACACCTAGCACCCAGATTTTGTTTGTTTGTTAAGTGCATTTATTTATTTTGAGAAGGGGAAAAGGGGCAGAAAGAAAGAAAAGGAGAGAATCTGAAGCTACCTCCACACTATCAGTGCAGAGTCCAATGCAGGACTTGATCTCAGGAACCATGAGATCACGACCTGAGCTGAGATCAAGATCCGTCAATAACTGACTGAGACACCCAGGCACCCCTTGGGTTTTAATATTACTCTCCAATTTAAGGGATCAGGGCTCTTCAGAGAAATATTTATTCTGGGACTGGGGCACAAGTTAAACCTGGAGCATTAGGTAGTTCCATAAAGTAATAAACTAGTAAAACATACACACACACAGGCACGTGCACACACAAACACAATGATAGGAGCATATCAAAGGAACATGGGAGCCTACTTAAACCTCCCAATAGTTAAAAGTAGGCCAATTTGAGCAAAAAATAAAATAGGATTTGATTAAAACCCAGAGTATAAAATAAATATCCATGAGTCCCTGTTGATGTACTAGATGAATAAAATAAATAGACAAGATTCCAATAGTAATAAATATATAGGGGAGAATTGTGTAGGAAAGAATTCCAAATAACTTAAGTAAATATTCTGCCATTAAGAGGTACAATGTAACGCCCCAAGTACAATGTAACCCCCTGTACAATGTAACACTTCCTGAGTAGAGACTGCACATAGTAATTTTCTTCCAAGGAATATGGAATATGGGAAAGGAAGGAAAAAAGAAAGTAACTTCACAGAAGACAAGACTGACAATCGTGACCTTAAGCCAGAGGATCAGAGTGAACATCAAGAGTAATATCCTATTAATACTGTAGACTCTTGACATGTTTTGATGAGAAGGCATTTTACCTCTCTGTGTGGCTGTCTTCCCAAAAGCACATCATCCCAGTCTAATCATGAGGAAAAAAGGAGAAAAACTTTCATTTGAATGACATCCTACAAAATATTTGATCGATAATCTTCTAAAGAGTCAAGGTCATCTAATCAAGAAACATGAGAAATAGTCACAACCAAGAGTTGCCTAAGAACACGTGACAGGTGTCCTGAATGCGATCCTGGAACAGAAAAAGGACATTAGGGAAAACTACGGAAATCCAAATAAAGAATGAACTTTAATTAATTAACATTTCAATATCTAATAATTAATTGTGACAAATATGCAGTGCTCACAGATGTAAACAATAGGGAAAACTGAGTGTGGGTATAAAAGAATTATATCCTATTTCACTGTACTATCTTCACAATAATTCTGTATATCTAAAACTGGTCTAACCAGTTGATTTAAAATGAATAAAATAGAAACTAAACATAAAATAGAGATCACATTAAAAATATAGATTCAAGAAACAACACATAATCAAAAAATATGTAGCTAGAATGAACCATAAAAGAGTGAAATCACAAATATATCAAGAATGTAAAAGAGGGCAGTGACACTGATATTTAGAAACAATAATAAGAGAATCCTATGAATAATTTCATGTCACTACATTTAAAACTCTATGAATCACTTCATGTAGGTACTATAGGTAAAATGAGAAAAAGTACAAAAACAAGCAAAACAATGTCATTTAGAATGCAGATACCTATTGAAGATGTATTCATATTGCTTAGCAACGAAGACATACGGATTGGAGCAATAAACATGTCCAGCAGGGACATTATTATCACAAAAGTTAGGATAATATAACCTTGAGAAGCAAACGAATTGCATCATGAGGAAGAAGCATCATACCTTACATGAGGAGATGTCAATGATCTGTTTCTTGACATGGGTAATGATGTTGATGGTGTTTTCTTCATATTATTATACTGTACATACATGTTTTTTTGCAGATTAATATATATAAAAGAAATATCTGAGCAGGAAAAAAAAAGGAAATATTATTCTACCTATACAGTGTAATATGGATGTCGGTGATGCATCCTGGAAGTGCACACATAATTAGGGAGGGTTTATCTGATCCAGAGAGACTATCACCTTGTGAGCCGGGGCCCGGCTTATGCTTAACCAGCATAGGCCATGCATGCGCACCTCCCCCAGTCGGGGAGGGAGGAGAGAGTGACATTATCTTGGAATTGGATGTGCTTCACCACCTTAAAAGTGGGCAACACGTGGGGGCGCCTGGGTGGCTCAGTCGGTTAAGCGCCGACTTCGGCACAGGTCATGATCTCACGGTTCGTGGGTTCAAGCCCTGCGTGGTCTCTGTACTGACAGCTCAGAGCCTGGAGCCTGCTCCACATTCTGTATCTCCCTCTCTCTCTGACCCTTCCCTGCTCATGTTGTTTCTCTCTCTCTCTCAAAAATAAATAAAACACTAAAAAAAAAAAAAAAAAAAGTGGACAACACAAAGACCCAATCCAGGAGACAGATATTAATCAGTTCAGTGAGAACATATAGCTAAAGTTGTATTTGAAAAACATGATAAGCATTATATCATGTTGTGTAAGGGCAAAATAAAAAAAAAATTGCCTTACCCCAACCCTGATTCTCTGAGTACTTTTATTTACCCATTTTGCCACCCACCACATGATATTTTGCTGAGATAACATTATACTTTAACTTCAATACCATGTGTTCCTTTGTATTATATTCCATCCAAGTGTCCGCATAGAACATTTTATAAAACCCTTAAGTCACTTATCATGATCCATTTATATTTATTGCTCATCAGTATTTCCTCTTGGCTTCCTCTGTGCCATCTTTAAGTATGTTCTGACTTATGTATTATAATTTTTACTTGAATATTTTCTTCTATAAATAATAAAGTTCCTGTTAACACAAATGCACACATAAAAAGTGGGTTTAGGAGGAAAAAATTCATGAAGTATAAATGATTACTCCCATGCTTCTGATTTGGACATCAGCATGAATATAGAGAATGCAAGGGGGAAAATCATGTTCAGAAAAAACGGTGGAATTAGTTTGGGACATTAATTCAGTGATTCTCAACTAAGGGTGATTTTTTTCCCCTCGGGAGACATGTGACAATGTCTGAAAACATTTTTGGTTGTAACAACTGAGAGGTATTCTACTGCCATCTGGTATGTAGAAGACAGATATACTTCTAAACATCCTACAAGGTGTAGGACAACCTCGTATCATCAAAAAATTATTGAAATACCAACAGTGCCAAGGTTTAGAAATGCTGGCTTATTGTAAGGTAACTGGAGAAGTCCACGATGAGATCTGATCCCCTTACCTGAAGCTCAGGGGAGATAGTTGGTAAGAAATCTTATTTGTCCAACTGTTAGAAAAGCTCCTGCAGTAACTGAGCCCTTCCCTCTTTTCATGTAATACTTTGTAAATGTTTATTGGCAATTCTGCGCCCGAGTCTAGAGTGTCAAATCATTCAATTGATGAATAGGTTTTGAAGAAATAGTCTGCTCACCAAATATATTTTCCCTTTAGGTTTGTTTAGAAATAGCAACAAATGACAGTTCTTCAAAGAGCTTTGAAAGAGACTACATAAAATTGCAAAAAATTGATAGTGCAATACAAGGCATAATTATTGAACATTTAAGTGAATGATTTTGCAACTCTGTGATTATTTTGGTCCTGGCACCAAAAAAAAAAACAAAACTCCATTCTTCTTGAGGGAAATCATTATCATTTTCACCATGTTCTATTTTCTATTCAATCAGAAATGGGGAAATACTTGTAAATGCTTTAAAGGAATATTCCTGTCAACATGCAATCACAATTTCCTTTGTACGTGATGTTCATTCATGGTAAAATAATTTTGAGTCTTCAAGAGCTAGCCAAAAAGAGAATGTTTAGATGCAACAAATTCATTTCACATAATGCTTTTGTTGGAAGTCAGGCTTTTTATGTAGATTTCTGCAGGTTCTCCCTAGTGAAAATCTACTTTATTATTCCCATCAGGTCTTCTCTGCTCAGAGGGTTTCTGCTTGTGGGTGATTGTTTTTCTCGCATGTACAACAATAAACAACTCTTTCAAGACTCTGTTGTCCTCATTACTTTTCTCATCCCACTGTGTGAAAATAGACATGTTTGTTCCCTTTCTGAAGTTCAAACACTTCTGAAAAAAATCCAGGAGAGAGATGTGCACCATCTTGACACTGCCTCAACCTGGGCCTCAAATTCTTCCAGGAAAGGGTCTTTGTTAGGTAAACAAAAACAAAAACAAAAACAAAACACAAGAAAAGATAGAAATCAGAACCATTTCTTATGAAAGTTAGTCTCAGAAAATTCCCTTGGAGAGGCTTCTGGGTGGATCAGTTGGTTAAGTGTCCAACTCTTGGTTTCGGCTCAGGTCATGATCTCCCAGTTCATGAGTTTGAACCCTGCATCAGTCTCTGTGCTGATGGTGTGGAGCCTGCTTAGGGTTCTCTCTCTCCCCCTCTCCCTCTCTCCCTCTGCCTCTCCCTTGCTCACTCCCTCCTTTCATTTTCAAAATAAATAAACTAAATTTTTTTTAAAATTCTCATGAAATAGTCTGTGATATATTCAACAGAACTCTTATTTTTATTTGATCTACTCAAGTAAATAGAGTTAAATTAAATCAATTTGTTCCTCATAAAATAATCAAGATTTGCTCAAATATTTCTGCCTAAAGATATTTCTAGCATGCATGTGTGCATGGATGCACATGCACACAAAATAACCCAAATATATAACAATAAATAAGAGAATAGAAAAGTAAAATAGAAAACTCTTCAACAGTGTGGGAAATCAAATAGCTATGATCTGGTTAAAGGGATTATAGGGAATGAATAACACTGCTTTCTGGACCTGCTGTAAACAGCTGACCAGTGACTAGTTAATACGTATTTAGGGGTTGGATCCTGCCCGTGCTCTTGAATTCCTTAGACCAAGTTATCTACGGAATATCTTATCTTGTTCTCCGCTTGCTTTCAGCATCTGCTCTTTTGCAGTTTTGGGAATACCTTGGTTTTTTTGCACACTTTCTATATGTTCTTATTGACATGTAGCCACTCACATATTGCACATGTTTTCCCTATACTGTATGTCTAATAAATACTGGAGCTTCAGAGCAGCTTAGGGAGACTTCCCTTAGCCTCCTTTTCACCTCTCTTGACTTGCATGGAGTCTTGAGTGACCCTCTCTGCTGCCCTTGGCTTTGGTGGACAATTGATCACTCACAATCGGTGACTTTGATGTGATTCCACAATTGGTGACCCTGACATGATAAGCTGAACCTGCAAACCATTTTATATGGTTATACATTAATTTCTATAGATGTATAATATACAAAGGTCTCAAGTTATAAATATACTTCTCATGAATTTTCACAAAGTACGTTAATATAACAACAACTAAAGAAAAAATTGAATAGGAACCAGTATTTTTATTCACTTTCTATTTTTATTTTTTAAAGTTTATTTATTTTGAGAGAGAGAGAGCTAGTGGGGCAGGGGCAGAAAGAGAGAGAATGCCAAGCAGCCTCACAGGTGTTAGTGAAGCGTTGGGATAGATCTCACAAAGGGAACCATGAAATCCTGACCAGATCTGAAATCAAGAGTCAGATTCTTAACCATACGAGCCAACCAGGTGCCCCCTGAACCAGTATTTTTTTCTTAAATATTTATTTATTTTTGAGAGAGAGAGACAGACTGTGAGCAGGGAGGGGCAAGAGAGAGAGGGAGACACAGAATCTGAAGCAGGCTCCAGGCTCTGAGCTGTCAGCACAGAGTCCGACATGGGGCTCAAACCCATGAACAATGAGATCATGACCTGAGCGAAGTCAGACATTTAACTGACTGAGCCACCCCGATGCCCCTGAACCAGTATTTTTAATATAAGAATTCATCATCTTCATATGTAGTATGATTCATAATGCAAATTTTATTTTTCCTGTCTAGCATGGCAAAGATCTCTTTTTTTTCCTGTTGTCTTACCTTTGATAGTCGAATTACTGTTTGTTTGTGCTTGTTTTTTTCCTTTGAGTTCTCTTCCATCCTTCGCAATTCCATTAGTAGTTACCTTGCTTTCCTGTGCATCATCACCAAATGCATACGTACCAAACACAAGCATCTTTATCTTTCTGTAAATAATATAATCAAAGCTGTTGGCACATGGTACACACTCATAAATGCGTATAGAATTAATTAATTAATATATCACTGTTATTAAATAATGGCAAAATGCCAACTATTTTGCCTCACCCAGAAGCTCATTCCCTTCTGGAGTGTTTTTATTTTGCCCCTTTTGCCACCCACCAGATTATGCTTTTGCTGAGGTGACTTTATGCTTCTACTTTCAATTACTATTTTACTTTGTATTATATTCTATCTACATGAAGCATCTTTAGGTCATATATTGTTACATCATTCTAGTCACTACGATGATCCATATATTCACCGCTCACCAGTATTTCCTGTTTCATCCGAATCATCTTGAAGAGTCTTGATTAACATATTGCAATCATTATTTGAATATTTCCTTCCAGGCGTGAGATAGTCTGTAAGTCCCTGTAAAAGTGAATCCAGATATCCTTCACTGTGGCTGATAAATGATAGCTTGGCAGAAAATAGGATTTTGGGTGGTAGCCTTTGTCTATCAGTACTTCTAATTCTCTCCCCGGAAGCATTCTCTGAGCTTCCAGGGTTGCCAAAGAGAACCCTGATGACAAACTAATACCTTGTCTCCTTTTTAACTAGCTTCCTTTGCCTGAAAGCTCATAATATGATCTTTTTAGTCACAGACTTCATGAATTTTATCAGGATAAACGTCAATTCTGCTCAAGATGAAATTTTCCTCTTTTAGAAGTTTTAACTTTTCTCCTTCAGTCTTCCTATTTTTCTTTTGAATTATTATGGATTCATTT